GAGGAGATAGTGGAGGAGGAGGTGATAGTGGAGGAGAAGGTGATAGTGGAGGAGAAGGTGATAGTGGAGGAGGAGGTGATAATGGAGGAGGAGGTGATAATGGAGGAGGAGGAGGGGACAGTAGAAGAGGAGGGTTGGGGATGGGCACTGACTATAAGACCCTGACATATCATTTTAAGCATAGCTGAAAATATAAAGTTTTGAGAGCAGTGAGGCTTAGGAAACTGAGTCTATACTTGGAGTTGACTTTAGTTTGGCCGAATGCAGAACTTGGGAAGGGTGAGACTTTGTTCCTAATTAGCTGTGCTTTAGACAGCTGGCTGTTACACAGTATGACGTTTTTTCAGGGATGGAGAAGGCTCAGTGAGTAAAGGGCTTACCACACAAACATGACTGAGTTTGGGTCCCTAGCTCCCAGGTAAAAGCTGGGAGCATCAGTGCACACCTGTAATCCTTGTGTAGAGCCAAGAAGATCTCTGGGGCTTCACGGCCCCCAGGCTCACTGATTTAGTGAATTCCATATTCAGTGAGAGATTCTGTCTCAAAAAATGAGATGGGGGCTGGAGAGATGGCTCAGCGGTTAAGAGCACCGACTGCTCTTCCAGAGGTCCTGAGTTCAATTCCCAGCAACCACATGGTGGCTCACAACCATCCGTAATGAGATCTAGTGCCCTCTTCTGGCCTGCAAGCATGCATGTAGGCAGAACACTGTATACACAATAAATAAATAAATTTAAAAAAAAAAAATGAGATGGAAGGGCTGGAGAGATAGCTCAGCAATTAAGAGCATTTGCTGCTTTTCCAGAGGACCCGAGTTTGAGTCCCAGCCCCCATGGGCCAGCTCCAGGGGATCCAATATCCTGTGCTGGCTATCCATGTGGATACACACACATAGATACATATATACATAAATAAATAAAATAAGGTGGAGAGTGATCAGGGAAGATGCTAGATGTTACCCTTTGGCCTCCATATTGCATGCACAATTAAATTTACACACACACACACACACACACACATACACACACAGAGGATTATTCTTTCTCCATGATGAAACAGCAACAAAAGCAGAGAGAAATGTATTCTGGACCAAAGATCTAAGAGAAATCTGACCTGGGCTTCAGAGAAGGGGACAACAGAAATACTGTTCTCTACCAGGATGGTTGCAATCTCCCCTTCCAGATCACCGATTCTCCCTAAAACACGCACGAAGTGTCCATTTGGATACACTGATGTTGTCTCCCAGGAATCAATTCGCACAACCACCCTGAAGTCCTATACAAAGGGAAAAAAAATTACAGTGTGAGCCAAAGCTAGAGGTAAGTGGTTCAATTTGAACCGGATAAACAGTACAGAGACCAAAGTCAGGCCAGTTTGCAAAGGGTGGCTCGCAGGAGCTTATTTTTTGCTTTCTGGTTTTTCTTGCCACTCTTCTGAATGGCCAGATGGTATACAAACGCTTGGCTGATACTTTGAAGGGAGGTATTACCTCTCTCCTTCAAACAATTGGGACAGAAATTTTAGTTCGTTAAAGAAAGCCAATTCTAACACATTTTAGTTAACACTTGAAACACAAGGGGTACAACTCAATAATGCAGGGTCTTAATCAAGTTTTAAAACAATAGTCTTGGGGAGGGGGGCGAGAGTGGGAGAACAGGGGAATCTGTGGCTATTATGTTGAACTAAATGATGTTGTAAAATAAATTTACTAAAAAAACAAAAAACAAAAAAAACCAATAGTCTTGGGAACTGGAGAGATGGCTCAGTGGTTACAAGCATCTCTACCAGAGGACCTGAGTTTTTCCCTAGCACCCACATCAGGCAGCTCACAATCCCCTATAACTCCAGTGCCAGGAGACCTGACACCCACTTCTGGCTTGTTGGGCACCTGCATTCATGTGTACACACCCATACACATGTGATTAAAAATAAAATAAGTCTAAATAAACAAATAAATAAAGCAGTCTCAATTTCTAGTGTGGGAATTACTTTCTAATTTCTTTTTAATCTTAAGATGCTCCTTGGCAGGAAAGATGATATCCATATAAGCTGGACCTCTCCACTGCCCAGACACCCTGGAAATGGCCCGAGAGTCTGCAGAAAGCTTCCAGAGGCAAAGGTACAATGACCAGGAAAGGGCTGGGGACATTCGACGTTAGTCTCATTTACAAACTGCAAAACACTAGGCAAATTAAGTTAGGAATTGCCTCCACTCTCTGCACCAAGTAAAAGTTAGTATCCGCCCTTCTTGTTCATGCCTTCTCTCTGGCACTCCAGTCCTATGCAGATCATCGATCCGTGAAGTCGTACTGTATCATCCCTGCAGGACACTCGAATCATATTTCTGTATCTTTCCCTGGAAGGAAGCTTGTTAGTGTTGGCAAGCGGTATGTACTGAAAGTTTCTGGGTCGGACAGCAGGATAATGTATGTTCGCTCAGCTTGTCCTGCACAGCTCTTTCTAGGACAACTTCTCTCTGGCCTTCATTTATTAACCATGGACTACTTAAAGGATGGTTCTTATATATTTAGAATGTTTAAAAACAGTATCTCAGAGTGCCAGATACCATCAATAATTGATTTCCTCTTATTCAAAGGCATTAACAATGCTTCTTGGTGCTGTTCGAAAGCCAGCGAAGACAGAGGTGGAGCAGTGTGCAGCAGGAGCTACCTGGAGGGCCTCTGCTTGCTGAGTGCTGATGCGGATTTTGGGGATTCTGTAATCCCAGGGTGTGACGAGGATCTTCTGAGCATTTTTGCCCTGATACTGGACCTCTTCTTTGGATGGAAATGTCACCACATAATCTCGCCAGTTCTTTTGAAGGATGCCCACCACTCGACCTTCGGGAAGACAGAACATAACAGCACTGACCGGTTAGCTGCCTCCTTGCCGGACGTGAGAGCACGGAGGCAAGGGAATGAGCAGGTCATTTCCCGCTCTCACGCTCATCCACACAGCCCAGAGGAGTTTACAGACCTGCCTTCCTAGCACTTTAAACGTGAATTACTTCCCCTGAGACAGTTTCTCTGTGTAACAGCCCTGGCTGTCCTGAAGTTCGCTCCGTAGACCAGGCTGTCCTCGAACTCACAGAGATCCGCCTGCTTCTGCCTCCTGAGTGCTGGGATTAAAGTCGTGTGCCATCATACCTGGCTAAACATGAATTTTTTTTTTGTTTTTTTTGTTTTTTGTTTTTTGAGACAGGGTTTCTCTGTGTAGCTTTGCGCCTTTCCTGGAACTCACTTGGTAGCCCAGGCTGGCCTCGAACTCACAGAGATCTGCCTGCCTCTGCCTCCCGAGTGCTGGGATTAAAGGCGTGTGCCACCACTGCCCGGCTCTAAACATGAATTTTTTAAAAAGAAGAATAACTTTAAAAAGTTGTCAGCTGGGGGTAGTAGTTCACACCTTTAATCCCAGCACTAGGGAGGCGGAGGCAGGAGGATCTCTCTGAGTTCCAGGACAGCCAGGGCTGTTACACAGAGAAACCCTGACTCAAACAAAACAACAACAACACCATGGTCAGCGCTTCCTTTCCCTGCAGAGCCCAGCATGACACCGGAATCTGTCCCATCTTCTCTTCTGCCTTGGGATTTGGTACCTTGGGCAAAGCCAATGGTTTTCACTCTGACTTACTTATTTATTCACTGTTTGCTTTGTTTTGTGAATAAGGGTCTCACCATGTAAATCTGGCTATCTTGGAACTATTATGTAAACCCGACTGGCCTTGAACCCCATCAGAACTCTGCTTCTCAAATGCTAGTTCAAGGCATGTGCCACCATGCCCAGCTCTGTCCAATGTTTTTTGGGACATCTCACTTGTCTTTTGTTTGTTTTTTGAGACAAGGTCTCTCTGTGTAGCCCTGGCTGTCCTGGAACTCACTCCGTAGACCAGACTGGCCTCGAACTCAGATCCTCCTGCCTCTGCCTCCCAATGCTGGGATTGAAGGTGTGCGCCTCTATCCCTGGCTTTTCACTTGTCTTTAACCCTTGCCCTCTGCTATGGGCTTCCATGGGCACCTGTGTTCTCTCAACAACCCCACTGGTCCAGTGGACACAGCAAAGAACACACATCCTAAGTCTACCTCACAGCACTGAAGCCAAGAAAAGACAAGCACAGTAGCTACCTGTACTTTTTCTTCTCTTTCACAAGTTTTTCCCGTGTGTGTGTGTGTGTGTGTGTGTGTGTGTGTGTGTGTGTTCGGTGATATGTCATTCTCTGGGAACTAATAACTTGGACTTTTGAGATGAAGTCCATCTTCTTGAGATGAAGCCTGAAGCCCCACCTTAGGCTAAGCTGGCTGGCTAGGAAGTCCCAGGGATCCTCCTGTCTCCACCTCCCCAGTGCTGTGGTTACAAGCACATGCATGATGCCTACTTCACAGACGTGAGGTTTCAGTAACAAACTCAGCTCCTCCTCATTGCATGCCCCTGCCAACCGAGCCACCTGCCGGTCAGCTCCCTTTCTGAAGGACTACTGAGAGAGCGCTGAGGGGCTGATGTGACGATGGTCTTGCCACAGGGTACCTGAGAGAGGCCTGACCCTACAGAGGTGTGGGGCAAGCTTGGGGAGTCGCTGGATTCAGGCCATATGCCACAGTTAGAGCCGACAGGATCTGTGGATGTGTGAAAAACAAAATGAGTCTAGGACAATTGCAGTCTTTTGGGTGGCCCAAGTAAGAATGAATTTTCAGTTTACTGAGATGAGGAATGCTGAGGGAAAGCGGGCCTGGGGCAGAAGTCAGGAGTCTCCTGAGGCGTCTTTAGGCTGAGATGTCCACTGGACATTCAGGGGAAGACGCCATAAAGGCAAAGAGGTAAAGAAACTGGCTGGAGACACAGGTCAAAGACTGAACAGTCTAGAGGGTGCGTGGAACAGGAAGCCCGGAGCAGAGCACTGCATGCCCACAAAGCGGTAGGAAGAGAAGATCCGGAAGAGAAGAGGAGATGGGCAGTCAGGAGGGCAGCAGGGTGAGGGAGCCTGGGCTCCTGAAGTCCACAGAGCAGCACACTCATGAGTGGTTCACACGCTATGACAACGGGCACAAGGAAGTGACCCGCATTTGGGCAGGAGGGCCCTGGGGAAATGGATACAAGTGATTCAGAGGGGTAGAGAGGACAGTCAGATTGCATGTGAGCGAGACCCTTCAGAAAGCAAGGAGAGAGAGTGTGGAGGAAAACAGCATCACAAACTGAGGCAGGGAAAGCACACAATGCTCAGAAGGGCTTTTTGTTTCTTTGGGTACTGAAGAAGTTAAAATAAACCTGCAGAGGGGCCAGGTACAGTGCTGTATTCGTATAATCCTAGTGCTGTGGAGGTGGACACAGAAGGATCAAGGTCATCCTTGAACAGTGAGTTTGAGGCCAGCCTGGGCTACATGAGACCCTGTCTCAAAAGAAGCAAAACAAGCCAGGCGATGGTGGTGCACGCCTTTCATTCCGGCACTGGGGAGGCAGAGGCAGGGGGATCTCTGAGTTCCAGGCCAGCCTGGTCTACTGAGTGAGCTCTAGGACATCCAGACAAGAGAAACCCTGTCTTGAAAAACAAAACAAAACAACAAAACAAACAAACAGAAATAAGCAAAACAAGTAAATCAACCTGTGGAGGAACTGAGGGTGGATACGGGGTGGAGCACACGTTCAGCATGTCTGAGGTCCTAGGTTCAATCCCCACCATTAAAAACAACAACGACAATGAAGTAGATCACAGAGAGGGGAAGCTGATGAGGTAGAGACCACATCTTATTTTCCTAACAGCAATGCTTTGTAGTCTTACAAATCACTAGAAGAGCAGATTGCAAGTTGTTCTCATCACATATACACAAGAAGGATGAGGTGGCTAGAGAGATGGCTTGGTGAATAAAAGCACTGCCACACAAATATGAGGACCTGAGTTCAAATCCCCAGAACTCATGTAAGGCCAGGTAGGCAGCCTTCTTCAACAGGCAGAAGCAGAACAACATCAGAGGCTGTTCTCTGACTTCTACATGCATGCCCTAGCATGTGCACCAGCACTCACAATCATGAACACACAGGCACATCATATACATGAAAAGATCATTTTTAGGGGTTGGAGAGAATGCTCAGTGGTTAAGAGCACTGGCTGCTCTTAGAGGACCTGGGTTTAATTTCCAGCACCCACATGGTGGCTCACAACCATCTATAATCCCAATTCCAGGGCATCCAATACCTATTCTAGCCTCAGTGGGCACCAGACAATCACAGACATACATGCATCGGCAAAACACTCCTACACATAAAAATAAATAAAAGATTACTTTTTGAAAACATGGTATGTGAGGTGATACATGTGTTAATTAGCTGGGTTAAGCCATTCAACAACACATACCTCTATCGAAACATCACAGTACACCCGATGAACACACACAATTTCCATTAAACAAACAAACTCCGGGCAGGACCGTGCTTCCCGGCGGCTCACCTGTGGGCATGGGCTCGCTTGGGGACTCGCCTGAGGCCTTGTCTTCGCTGTCGTTCTCACACAGGGCAGCAGTTCTTCCTTTCCACTCGTTTTTGGGGAGCAGCTCCACCACCACCACATCGCCATGGATGGAGCGGTTCCGAGCCTTCGTACCATGGATGAGGATGTCGCTGAGCAAGCCTGTGTGTGCAGCACCGAGAAGCCGAGTCAATGGCTGCCACACCGGAAGCCATTTCAGACGGCCTGTGCCTCAGGTCCGATCAGCACACTGCTGAGGCTGGAGAGACTCTGGGGCTCAGAGGGTGGGGCGCTCACCACACAAGCGCGAGGATCCGAGTTTGGATCTCTAGCAACCACGTAAAAAGCCAGGCACAGTGGTGCATGTCTGCGACCCATGCACTTAGTGGGCTGGAGCCAGGAGGAGCCTGGGAGCCCACTGGCCAGTCTGTCTAGTCAGAGGAGCAAGCTTCACATTCAGTGAGAGATCCTGTCTCAAAATTAAGGTGGAGGAGGCTGGAAAGATGGCTCAGCCTGCCTTGTAAGCATGGCAATCTTGAGTTCAGAAACCCAGCATTCACATAAAGCCAGAGGCACGTGCGTGCGCATGGAAACACACATACACACACACACACACACACACACACACACACACGGACACACGGACACACACACACACACACACACACACACACACACACA